TCGGAGCAGGTGTCCTGTTTGTGGCTGGAGGAGTAGGTGGAACCGTCCTGTATGCCAGCTATGACACGCAGTTCCGGGAGAGCGTAGAGAAGGCCGTTCCCTACTCAGATAAGCTCTTTGAGATGGCACTTGGCCCCGCACCTTACAGCGCGTCGCTGCCGAAGAAACCGGTGAGTGTTCCCCGTTCGCTCCCACCCTTTGCTCTTCGTTTTCAGACTGATTAACTTCTTGCGGGCTGCACTTACGGGGTGTGAGCTGTGTGGTGCTGCGTCTCAGTGGGGCTCGTACGTGTGCCATTCTCATCCTGTGACTGCAGGCTGTGGGTTGTAAAAGTGTTATTTTCAGTTAGAGTAACGTAATCTAGCAGGATCCTGACGGAATAGCTCCTCTGCGTGTACTCCAACACACCGGGGGCAGAGAGAGGTCAGTGGCGCGTTGACGTTAAACTGGTTTTGTGTGGCTAGCGATTTAGCACAGTTAGGGATTTAGCAGGACTGACAACTCTTATTCTAAGCTGAATTTGCTTTTAAAGAAAACAGAGACCTTTTCAAGTCAGTAAAACTTTGAACGGTGCTGAGCCATTCATACTTTGAAGTCCTGCAGAAGGGAAAACTTGATGCAGCTATCGGCACCGATCTGGGAGTCTCTCTGTCCCTGCATCTGCAAGCTAACATTTCCCGCTTACCCAAGAATGCTGAAAAGCTGCTCTGGCCGTGCCTGTCCTGAGCTTTCAGAAGCCATTTGACCTTCAAGAAACACAAAATATTTTCAATTGGAGTTTAAGAAAACTGTTCCTAATGAGTGCGAGAGTATCAGTTAAGCAAAGCGGTGTCTCTTCCCGTTTTAGCTGCGCTTGACTCGTGATCATTGGAGCTCTTAACGCTTCCAGGGCGCCCGTAAATTTTCGCCAGCCTGGTTGGATGAGAAAGTTATTGCCTGCCCAGCCATGGCTGTAACGCAGATGCTTCTGTTACAAAGAGAAGTGTCAGCTGAGTTAAGATATACCTGTATGGACTAAATAATGTCCGAGGGGACGTAACTGAAATCTTTCACACCTCCATGTCTGTGTGGTTTTTATGGTTTCCGAAGCATTTGGAGTGTTTGGGGCATGAAACGATTTGCTTTTTATAAATACCGTAATAAATACTTGTTTGTAGTGAAAAGTGCCTTGACGATATCTTTGGTTTTGGAGAAGTGAAAATTGTAAAGGTTCTTTCTAAATTAAAAATCAAGGCAGTATGCGATACGGCCTTGCTACTGTTTTCCTGTGAACCCTGGAGTTTAGATGTGTGATACAGTTGCCTGGACATGGAAATGTTCTCTCTTGTTATAATGGAATTTGTGAGACACAAGCTGATTGGAAAACCACTGTAGTTCTTATCTTTTACTTTTTCAAGGTACCGCAGGGCCCGCTGAAGATCTCCTCTGTAGCAGAAGTAATGAAAGAGTCAAAACAGCCTGCCACAAAATCCCAGATGAGCAAAACGGAACCTGTTGCTCCTTCAGAGGGAAAAGAAGGTAACTTGACAGAGTGTCATGGGGAGAGAAGCAGAAGACCTAAGGATCCCTTACACCGTGCCTCCTGGGGTAGATTAAAATAGTCCTTTGGAGAGCCTGAAGGTTAGCCTGTTGGAATGTCTTAGGATCTGTGTTATTTTCCTTTCATTCTTAAGAAAAGTTGACTAAAATGGCTTTAGCTTTTTTCCTTCCCCTGGCTATTTTTGCAGAAAATTCATTCACCTTATAGGATGTTGAGGATCTAAGATAAGCAGTGACCGCCCCGCACAGCTCAGATATGAGACCCAGCAGGAAGAGCCCTTTGGGTGCTGGACTCTGAGGCCGTTTCCCTCCTCCTTTCCTCACAAGCACAAGAAGCTTAATTTGGGATAATTACTGAGCTGCTGTAAGGCCAGATCAAATGGAACTGGTTTAGAGAGAAGCAGCTGTGGCATCTTTTTGCATTCAGCTCTCACGTCTGTGCAACACCCGATGCTTGGTTGTTCTGGAAATTAGATCAGTGTCCGTATAATGTGCTGCTACAGCGGCACTGAAAATGAAGTCTTGTAGCCCTGTTCTTTGTCACTCACATGTACTAAGTGGCTTTGTTCTGTTTCTCTGTTGAACAGCAGGCAAGGCTGCAGCACAGATCATCTCCGCAACAGGTGTGGCCGTGTCGGTGCCAGCTCCGGGGATACAGACTGAAGAAGGTGAAAAAATGGGTGTGAAGGGGAGCAAAACCCTGTAGCTTCGAGGGCGTGATTTCTTACTTCTGTGCCGGTATCTGTCAGTTTGCAAAGGTGCAGTCCCTTGTGCCTCCTGCGGAAGAAACTGCTTCCGTCGTCTGTCAGTAGATTTCTAACTTCGACATGATAGTCTCTTCCAGATGAGATTTTTAGTTTCTTCGTGTGTTAACACCTTTCACGGAAGTTATGCCAGCAGTACCTAGATAGGCTGCGCCCCGTTAGCAGCAGCTTTAGTAGAAGGGGTGGTTTCTGTTGCAGCACAAGCCCGAGAGCGCTGGACGCTCTCCTCAGGTCAGATGCAGACCTGCTCTTGGGCCGAGAGGTTTGCCTGGGTCAGCGCTCACCCGTAACGGCAGCTGAAGTAGGCTCAGTCTAGGGCATAGAGAGCAATTGTCGTTCCCCATGGCCTTTTCACTCACCTTCCTTTGCTTGAGCTAGGCTCCAAGTGTGCCAAGGAGAACGGGAGAAAAATTAAGAGCAGAGATTCACTGCAAATTTAAACTCAACTCCCTAAGTATGTTTTACTTCTTACTTTGTTTTTTACTTCCGAATCTTGCGTAGTTTAGCAACTCGACAGCCTAAAACGTACAGCTGCGTGGGAGATATCCATGCTACTGTCTTCATTTTAAGGAGGTTTGAGACTGGCCTTCATAGTTATGGGTATAAAAAAGTCCTGGGGTAGTTTCAGTCACATTTATGAAGTGATGCTGACCATGAAAATCAGTTTTGAAAAGGAAGTCACTTCCCTACAAGTACTCCATTTACTAATTTGGACTCTGCTAAAACTGTTTAACTCTTTACTTCTGAACAGGTAAAGAACATGAAGGTTCCCCTGCCATAAAAGAACGGTCACCGGAAGAAGTCGCGGCCCGGCTTGCCCAGCAAGACAAAGAGGAGCAAGAGAAGATAGCAGGTGAGCCCATCCCGGTAGCTTTCCTGTGCACGTTGTACCGTGACCAAACCGGGGACTGTGTCGGCTTGGGAATTCCAAGTTGCTCGTATGCGCCTCTGTTGTCGCCCCTGTGTTGTGTTGGCAGATGGTGTTGAAACTTCTTACACCCACTGAGAAGTAACTGGTAGTCACAGAACGATGGAAAACTTAGGGTTGGAACGGACCTCCAAGGTCTGCAGTGCATCCTGTGCATGGAGAGTTGGGGCGGGTTAGAACGGAACATTTCAGTTGGAAGGGACCTACGACAGTCATCGAGTCCATCTGCCTGACCACGCTGACCGACAGCTAAAGCATCTTGTGAAGGGCATTCTCCGAGTGCCTCTAAACACAGACAGGCCTGGGGCACCGACGGCTGCTCTGGGAAGTCTGTTCAGCATTGACCACCCTCTGAAAGTATAAATAATGATCCTGCCACAAGAAGGTTGCTCCAGGCCGCCTCCTCCAGAGGTTTGAAATTCTCCAAGGATGGACATGGTTCCATCCCTCTGAGCAGCTCTGCCAGCGCATCTTACGACGAACTTCATACATCCGGTTGATTTCTCTGGTTGGCACTTGGATCTGTTGCCTCTCGCCCTTTCTCTGGGCACCCCTGGGAAGTGTGGTTCATCAGTAACGCTCCTCTAGGTGTGGACGGCATTGCTGAAGACACCCCTCCAGCCTCTCCAGGCTGAGAGCCTGGATCCCTCAGCCTCTCACCGCTGGTGTGTGCTCCCACTCCCAAACCACCTCACTGCCCCTCCACTGCTCTCTCCCCGGTTTGTTTGTCTCTCTCCTACACTGAGCCTCCCAAAGCGCGACACTGTATTCCAGGCGTGCCAGTGCCTGAGTGAGGAAGATTATTCCTTCACTTGAGCTGTGGGATGTGCTTTGGTTTGATGCAGCCCTGCTGACAGACTCGTTGCTGCCGGAGCATGCTGTTGTCCCTGTTCTGTTCCCATCTTCTGGGCTCCTCAGGTCCTTGTTTGCACAGCTGCTGCCTAGACCTGCGGGTCCGGGATGGTGTGTCCAGGCGCTGGGAAGAGCTGGGGGTTCTTGCGCTGGGAATGAGCACAGTTCCTTGCTTGGGTTCTAACTCAGACCTGTTAATCCAGCCGTATTACTGAGCGGTGCTCTGGCCTGTATCCCAAAACTCATGTCCTTGCATGTCTTGCCCAGAACAATGAGTTTTGCTTCCCCCTAACCCCCCACTTGGTTCCTTAGATTTTAAGTACTTCCGGGTTGTTGGTTTGGCTGCAGCATGATTGTTTAAGTCGGGAGTTTTGGGTCCTTTCCTGGTTTCCCTCAGGAGAAGCCAGAAAAACTGGACAAGTTTGGGTTTGGTAGATGGTTTTCTGCTGTCTGGCATGTCCGGGCCACCTGTAACCAGGTACCTTGATGCCTGCCTTGTTAAAGCACACCCAGCTCAAGCTGCAGGTTGCTTCTGTGTTGTCCTTCAGCCGGCGTTGATGAGGGCGAGCAGGAGGGCAGCCTCTTGGAGAAGTGGCTGGGCGTTGAAGGATGACTGCTGACACGGGGCAGTGCAGGGACCGCTGCCTGCAGCGGCTCTGCAGACCGCCCGTGGTGAGGGCAGGAGTCCTCGGGGGTGGCAGACCAGAGGCACTGACTGCAGGTATGCTGAACAGAAGCTACATGTGAGGAGAGTGAAGGTTCACTGTTAACGTAGGTGTAGCCAGCGAAAACGGGCTCGAAAGGGCATCAAGCAGCAGTGAGCCATGTACTGGACACGGTTCAGCCTGCTGTGAGAGCTGCAGCCCTTTGAATTACTCCTTTGTGCTTGGAAAGGGCCGATGGCGGAAGCGGCGCTGGCGCAGCGTGCTGTGTCCCGTCTGAGCTGTCCGACCGCTGTGTGCCTGTGACGCGACCTTGGCACGGGTGTCAACCGGGCTCCGTCTTTCCTCTGAGCGCTTCGGTCCTTGGCCAAAGCCTTTGCCTCAGGCTGCTGGGGCACACGAGGGATGAGAAGGATGTGCAGGCCGAGACTCAGCAGGCGTGGGGTTGGCATGCTGGCTGCCCTCTGCTCCCGCTTGCTTCTGTTCAGGTTCATCTTGCTGCTCTTCACCACACAAACAACTCTTGGCATCCGCTCTCCGCTTCATACCAAGGACTGTTTTGCAAGTGAAGAAGTGGAAATGTTACTGAGAAAATCCAGAGGGTTGTTTACTGGAAAGGTGGATTTCCTTCCCCTACTATTGGAAGCCCATGTCTGACTCCAGAAAGGCAGACGCTGCTCACTCTGGTTAACCATCCTGGTTTGGTTCCTACCCAAATAAAGATTTTACCAGCGGGATGGGATGGCTGAGCCCGCCGCCCTGGCTAAGACAAGTAACTCCGCATTTGGAGTATCTCTGTCTCGCACAGGACAGGAGAATTTACGTGTTTCCTCTTAACAACCATTGTACCAAACAAGGATGGAAAGTGCATACTGGTTTAAATGCGCCCCCTGCAGAAACGCACGGTTAAGGTCTTCCACCGAGTAGCTTGGCCGCTGTAACTGCAGACCTGAACCTCAGCGCTCCTCTCAATCAGGAGCGTCTTCGGCAACCTTCCTTCTTCCCTGGGCCGCAAGCGAAACTCCCGAACTGGCCAGCTTGCTGGGGTCACGGACAGTAACGTAAGGAGGTGCAGCGGGTACAGCGTGTCTCTCCGCCAACTCTAAGGCGCCTTTTCATAGTCTAATGCAGTTTGTTTTTTCCAGCCCTGGCAGCGACTTTGGAAGGAGCCCTGAGCGCAACAGCTCGTGTAACCCTTCAGGCGATTACTGCCCAGGAGTCTGCTGTGCAGGCAGTGAACGCCCACTCACAAATACTGAAGGAGGCCATGGACAATTCGGAGGTAAACTGGACAAACCGGGGCAATTTTAGGGTTTTTGTACCGTGTTCTGCGAAACTTCTCGCCTCACAGTTAAAGCTGGAAGCTTTTCTTGCAACGTCTTTACTTTTATCACCGTTTACACTCATCTTTCCACTTGTGAAACATGGTTTAGTTGAAGCATACAGTGGCTTTGCTTTTGAATTTAGTTGTGTTGGTTCTTTTTCCCCCAACTCCTTTTACTTCACTTTTAACTTGAACTTTTCTTCTCGCAGTACATTGATAGTCTTCGTGTCGTATTTTAATTCATTATATTTTAATTCCCAAGCCCGTTTTTTACCTGGATATAGTTAGGACAGCATGCTGTCCACCCTGATAATTCCAGTGAGCCATTCCCTTTGCCAAAATCTGACTGCTAGGTTATTTATTTCTTACCTGGAAGGGAGTAGGGGATGCCTGAGTGATACCAGCTTGCGGTTCTGGGGTGCTGATCTGGAGGTTTGTGTGGAACCACTGCTTCCCGCTCAGTTCTGGAGCAGAGTATCGTTTAGTGGTTAATCAAATGAAAAGAGGGGCAGATGGGCAACTAAACAAGCACTCGAGATTTAATCTAGTCACTAGGAAAAACAAGTGTCTTGAGTTTCATTTAAAGCTCAAGTATTAAGCTTACTTCAAAATTAAGCAACTTCGAAGTATTACGGTACTTTAATTATGAAACTTAAGTGCAACTTAAAGCATTACAGCACTTCAATACCTGTAGAAATTTCCCCTGAAACACTGTGGCCACATTCAGTGATCCTCAGACCAGCTCTTTGGCTGGAGAAATGGCTGTTGCTCAGGTGGAACAAAGCACTAAGAATCCAACAAAACCAAAACATTGGAGAAGAGAAGGCTCTGGGGAGACCTTATTGCACCTTCCAGTGCCTGAAGGGGGCTACAAGGAAGCTGGGGGGGACTTTTTACAAGGGCCTGTAGTGACAGGACAAGGGGTAATGGGTTTAAATTGAAAGAGGGGAGGTTTAGATTGGATGTAAGGAAGAAGTTCTTCCTGGAGAGGGTGGTGAGGCACTGGAACAGGTTGCCCAGAGAAGCTGTGGATGCCCCATCCCTGGGAGTGTTCAAGGCCAGGCTGGATGAGGCTTTGAGCAACCTGGTCTAGTGGAAGGTGTCCCTGCCCATGGCAGGGGGGTTGGAACTGGATGATCTTTACCTTCCAACCCAAACCATTCTGTGACTGGAAGGAAAAAATTCCTTTGTGAAGGTTCGGGCCGTGCTGCTGGTAGAACACAGGACGTTGCTCCGTTTGAGTGACGCGAGCGCAGCAACGTCTGAGTCTTTACAGGCTTTCATTGCTTTTGGTAACGGTGCTGTGTCATGACTGTGAGGACCCTAATTAGGCGTCTGTGCTTCTCAGGCTGATGGGGAGAAGAAGTCATCGCAGTGGCGCACTTTGGAGGAAGCGCTGAAGGACCGGAGGAGAGCAGTGGACGAAGCTGCTGATGCCCTTCTGAAAGCCAAGTGGGTTGCTTGTTCTTAAGGTGTCTGGAGTAGAAAGCTGACGTCGCCCATGCGAGGGCTGGCAGGCACTAGATGACCTGCTAGAAAGAACGCAGTCGCCTCTTGCATATTAAACTGATGTGTTTGTGCCCGACCGAAGAGTCACGTACGCTAATGAGCATGTTAATTTGCAGTGTGGACATCTGAGGTGCCTGTGCACGTGGTCCTCGCTGTACCAGAGAGTCTGAAACAGTCCTTTTTAAGACTTGCTTACCCTTAGTGTTGAGATAAAGCATTGGGAAGTTCAGGATTAAAAAAAAATCGCCCATAACCCTCTTAATATTATTTTTTGTCAACTCTGTCGCCATTCAACCTGTTGTAAGGTCTCTGTGAGTGCTCACCCTGTGTACGAAGTCAGTAACGTGGCTTAGCTTTCGGTTGCGATGACGAGCTGAACCTCGCCGCCTCGCCTGGCGGTTCCGTCTGTCAGCCGAGTCGCTCGCAAGGTTGGGCTTTTCAAGGTGCTGTGCGCAGCGAACGCGGTGCTGCTGGTAACCCAGGGTCCCGCGCGAGCCGCGTCGAGTCTGGCATGCAGACGTGTGCTGCTGGGATCACAGGATGTTTTTGAGGCTGAGGGAGCAACGGTAAAAAGAGGGGAACGTTATCCTTGAAGTTGCAGAGTCGCCACTGACGTTACGAACTTCTCTTTCAGTTGCTGTGCCAACTGAAAACGAGAGGTGTAACGGGGTTTTTGGAGAGTAAACCAAAGCCACCCCGAACCCACGCGCACTTGCTTTCGTTCTCTGGTGCTCTACTGCATGCCTTTGCTCTTATTTACTTATTTACTCAGTTTAAAGCTTGTTCCTTACTCCAGTGAAGTTGTCAGAGACAGCCATTGGTTTGAATGGATCTGGGAAAGGAACACCTTCCCTTGTTCCTTGATTTCCCGTTATGCCAGAGGAAAATGGTTCTTTAATTATTAAAAAACCTCAGTCTCTCTTCTGAGCTCTGTATAAAATTTCTCCCATCCTCATTTCCCTTCACCAGTCACCATGTCCGAAACGCTTCTGCAGGAGTAAGGCATCTACGTTAAATATGTTTCCTTGGTGTTATGGGATGGAAACATCTGTCTTCTACTCCTCCCTTAGTCCTACTAATAGTAACTGTTCTCACAGAATCACAGGCTGCTTTGGGCTGGAAGGGACCTTAAAGCCCATCCAGTTCCAACCACCTGCCATGGGCAGGGACACCCTCTTTCATCTGCCTCCTCCAGCTACATCTTGAGTCCTAAACACTGACTGTACTGTAAGTAACTGTCACCTTAGGTGGAACAGACACACTGACATCTTCAGGCCGTGGAAAGGGAAGTGCAGTCACAGCATCTCAGCCACAGAGCTGGGGATGGGAAGCACCGGTGGAGTTATCCGGCAGCTTTTCCTATAACGACAGACGGCATGAGGTCAGCTCTTCCCTGTGCGTTATAACTGGCAGCTGCTTCTCTTTTCAGAGAAGAGTTAGAGAAGATGAAAGGGGTGATCGAGAATGCCAAGAAGTCTCCGATGGCAGGAGTCAAATCTCATGTTACTGCCGCAGAAGAAAACCTTCACCATATGATAGTTGACTTGGACAATGTCGTAAAGAAGGTAACGCTTCCGCCGGCTGCGCGTGACTGCCGTTCCCAAACCCTCTGGAGTAGGTTATTTAAAGTGTAAATTCCGGTCTTTCTTAGCCGGAATCTGAGCTGAGTATAAACCTGTGAACAGTCGTGACAAGATCTGTGCAATACCTCGAACTCGGAGTCTCCAGCCAGCTTGGCCAGGGTCTGTCCTTTCTGCGGGCAACTTGCAGCTCTTTCCATTTGAGGCCGAGAGGAGTTCACCGTGCAGTCAGGGAGGGGCAGGAGCAAATTGTGCCAATGACTTGCTGCCTAAATCACTTCACAGCTCACAAGACTGGGGAAAAAATGTAGAGGTGAAACGTATCTCCCTTGGCAGGTCAGCTGATAATTCATCAGGTGCGTTTTGAGTGAATTTAGCCCAGTAGTGGGACTCTTAGAGCTTACTGAGAGGGGGCAGCCCTCACAGGAGTAGCGTACTGGGCCTGTACGGGAGCTGGGAGCAGGGAGAAAGAGCTGGAGGCTGTTAAACGGTGTAGATGGAATCACGATACACTTTTGGTCCTGCCTGGGCTACAGACTCCATCTGGTTACAGCGTGTGAGGGGAAATGGGTTTGTGGTTGTTCCAGCAGCCGACTGTTGTACCCGAGAGGTTTGATGTCACCGGGTACGGTTGTGGGGTTTTGTCCCGTCCCTCAGTGAGCTTGCTTTGGTTGGGCTGGCGAGTCACAATACCTGCCACTAACTCAGGGCCTGGCTTTGAGGCTCCGTTTTCAGTGCCTGCCTTGAAACTCCTCTCCTTTCTGTTCCTTGCAGGTGCAGGCAGCACAGTCTGAGGCCAAGATAGTCGCTCAGTACCACGAGCTTGTGGCTACAGCAAGAGAAGAGTTTCAGCGGGAGCTTGACAGTATCACCCCGGATGTAAAGCCGGGCTGGAAGGGGCTAAGTAAGTCTCAGGTTGGAGGGTCGCTTTGTGCTTGTCACATCCCCGTCCCTGGCTTGTGGGGTTTCTGAAACTGCATCCTGCTGTCCAGCCTGCTGGGCTGGTTGGAAGTGAAATGAGTTCACAGTTAAGTGTCTAAAGCTGGTGTTAGGGAAAGGCTCAACTCCTGGATCTCCCTGTGTGATAAATACCATATGGCTGTTGAAACATCTCCTCCCTCCCCTGGTTATGCCAGGGCACTCCAGACTTGGACTCGTCAAGTATTTAGCAGGGCCTGTTGCGACAGGACAAGGGGTAATAGTTTTAAACTGAAAGAGGGGAGATTCAGACCAGATAGAAGGCTACAATGAGGGTGGTGAGGCACTGGAACAGGTTGCCCAGAGAAGCTGTGGATGTCCCATCCCTGGAAGTGTTCAAGGCCAGGCTGGATGAGGCTTTGAGCAACCTGGTCTAGTGCAAGGTGTCCCTGCCCATGGCAGGGGGGTTTGGAACTGGATGATCTTTAAGGTCCCTTCCCACCCAAGCCATCCTGTGATTCTGTGGCTCTACCGGTGAGGTTGACTGTGATGACAGTACTGTGACACACCATTCCCACAGGCTGATAAAGAACTCCCTGAAACGAGGGACACGCTGACATTCGCTGCTCGTACCCTGACCCCCCGTGCGCCTTTTACCTCCAAGTTAAGCCGACACAGTAACTTCCCTCGGGCAGCAGCGGGTGGGTGTCTCCTGCTGCCATCACCCCGTTCCTTGTCCGAGATCCAAAACCTCATGAGCTGCCTTTCCCTGGGCAGGATAATGGGGATTGTCATCACTGCCCTTCTGAGGGAGCGAAGGGGACCTCCTGGTGGCTTCCGTGCACGCCGTTCCGTACTGGCGTGACCTGCTGAAGTCCATGTGGGACTGACTTGCTGGGGTCTCTGTCTCTTACTGCCACTTGGAATTTGGTTCTTAACCAACTGCTGCTGGCGTGTAAGAACCTAGAAGCATCAGACTAAACCTTCTGGTGTCCTGTTGTGCTTTCCTCCTTCAAGCTTGTATTCCTTCACTTTGGCTCAACTTCCGCATCCGTCTGTGGGTTTCCAAGGGTGATTTCGGTGGTTGGGATGTTTTGGGCTACGCCTTTGCCTGTCACAGAGACTGTTCTACTTGACAGGCTGTTCTTCCCGAATTCCTACAGACTCGGACGCGTGTTCAAGTCGCTGTAGATGGGAAGCTCCTAACCCTTCTGTTCACTTGTGCATGCCTGACGCGCGGCGGCGCATGTGCGCTAACCTTCCCACCCTCTCCTCTTTCTGTTGCAGAGATAACTGACTTAGGTGAGTTCCCGTGGCTTCTGCTGCCCCTGTGAATGCCACCTCTTCTCTTTGGGGTGTTGTTTTTAACGGATGCGTGCTGCATCACTGTCAGCCAAGGGGTGGAATGCCGCATTCCCAAAACCTTTCAGGCTGAGGTACGCTTTGGGATCCTTTGCGCTAGTTGTGTGTGTCTGGCTCAGAGCACGGGCTCCTTAGCAGCACCTCCCAGGTGAGTGCGACCGCTGGCTCGGGGAGGTCAGGCTTGAGTTTTCTGTGTGAACCCAAGCTGGGCGATGCCTGCTGCCGCGATTCCGGCGAGAGGCAGGAACTTTGGCCAGTTCCAGTGAAGCTGTGGGATGCGCCTGTCCCCCAGCAGGCCCCCCTCGTGGCAGGTCCTGGCTTGAGAGGTGCTGGGTGCACCAGCTCCTGCTGGTGCCGCTGAACCCTCTGGGTGCTTGCAAGGCCACGTAGGGCTGCTCCGAGCTGCGTCACCGAACCAGATTCACTGAAGTGGGCTTCGTTCTCCAAATGTGACCTTCACGACTAACTCTAGAACTGCTGATTAACGCTTTGATTCTGAGCTTTATTTCTCTTTTCCCTTTTGATCAAAGACACATAATTAAAGCTGGAGTGCAGGAAACCCCTGTTCTGTGCGTAGCTGCATTGCATCGAGCCCTCCTGCGCCAGCCTTTTCTCTGGCACCTTCACGGCAGGATGGCTGGACTGTGGAATGTCACTTGCTTTAGACCCTGCAGGAAGGCTTTCCCCAGTCATCCCTGGTTTTCCATGCGGGCAATTTAGCTGGCAGGCAGTGCGGAAGGAGCTGAGGCGTTTTACAGAGCCTGTGCCTTTGGCAGCTCCTCGAATCTACAAATGCTGCGGAGAAATGCAGCCTGCCTCCTCCTCCTCTCCCAGGAGAAAACAGCAGATGTACTGGCAGACACAGATGTAA